ATGATCTAGATCTGGTTCCCATATCTATCACCTTAAAAGTGATAAGCTGTCCATTTTCATCAATTAACTCACTCATAAAATTCATACAATTGACAACCTCTTCAACAAATATCTTCAAAATCTTTTAAGTATAGATTTTTTATGCATGTGACTCAAATAAAGAAGTTGTTCTTAAGATTGGAGTAGTTGTAATGTCTTTTAAGTAGTTTTCCTTTTCTTTTCGTACATTCTTATATTGCACCTTTGCACATATTTCCAATGTACGTAAGCTTGTTTTGGATGTCAAGTACATATTGAAAATCTTGAAATGCTTATCCATCCCTTCATTTATTTGGGTAGAAGTCATACCCGCTATGAACCTACCAGTCAAGTATGTATCCACCTATTGCATGCGACAACCATAAAGCCTATTTAGCCATTCATTGCTTTCTAACTCATATTTCTCAATCATTAATTTTCATCCTGATTCAAATTCTTCTACTGTTAGGCTAGCTATACAACTCCTGAACGTATCTGAAAAAGAAGGATGCATGCGCAAGACATGGCATAGTTTTTTTTTAACTTTCGAAAGTATATGCCATTTACAGTAATGATGCTCACTATGGTAAAAAACTTGTCTCACTGCGGCTGAATTGCATGGTCTTGATCAGTAACGCCTTGTTGTTGTTCACCCATTGCTTCTAACCAATTTTCAAATACCCAAACAAATGATTCTACCTTCTCATCAAATATGAGTGCAAATCTGGTAATTTACACCAAGTATGGGTGCAAATGACATGATAAAAGAGCTTGTTTTGTATGTGGTATCTAATGGAACCACATCATATAAGCATTGATAGGAAACTTTACATGTGACATCTACCCATAAGATGTTGAGAATGTGATCGTCTTCATCTAATTTCAATTTATAGAAAAAAAATGGTTTCGATTCTTTTATTTTATAGAACCATTACATAATTAGACTACCATATTCTCCTGCCACTAGCAATTTCATTTTCGATGTCCTTTTGTGTACATGCGACATTCTCGATCCCTCCAACTTGCTCTATGAATATGTTTTGGCTTAACCATTGCCAAACTCATTGAATTTATCATCAACTTTGTGGCACCAGACAATGTTCGATGGCTACGAATTAGGCGAGCTTTTCATGGACTGACTAGATCGTGATTGTAATCATCAATAAACCTAGTCATAACCCACTCATTGTCCGCTTTTCTACTCAGTCCCAGCTTAGCCTTACACCCACACCTTGATTCAGGGAGTTCCTTTCCACTGACTTGATCTTTCACTTTGAGAAAGCCTTTATTAAAGCAATTAATTTCTTTATCGATCCGTTGACTTTTTTATTATGGGTAGTGCCCTTACGGATACCCAAACCTTTGGCCAATACATAAGCCTTATAGTAGTCAATCGCATCTTTCACTAAAGAAACTTCATTCCTATACGGGGTAAATTTGTTTCTAGGCCTTTGGTTGAGGATTCAGGTTCTCCATCTTGCATTTCTGTGAATTTTTTAGGACAGGTTGCAAGATAAGGAACTCACTCCATGGGCTTATTGGTGTCACCCATGTTATCTGCAATTGCGCAAGTGGGAGATGACATAGTCAGAAACAATGTGATTCATCTAAGGCTTTCAACTGACCCTACATAAAAAGACAAACTATATAAATATATGTATTCAAACCTTTATATAAACATAACAACACTCCTAGTAGACCATATATCACATTTATTAACCATTCCAATTTTATTGCTTCCATTATAGGATCAACCATATTTGAAGCAATTATAGACAACAGAGGTGACACCCTTATTAATGTGAACTTAACTCCTAAGTGTACGAGAAAAGAGTATTATCCATTATGCAAATCTGAAGACATAAACAATCCATAGTTATATACACATGATCAACATCTCAATACACAAAAAAAGTCATACAAAATTTAACATATAAAAATGTGCCTACAATGGCACATAGATAATAAGGCAGCTGATATTTGACATATCAGATTTTTCTTGCAATAGTATGTGGATAATAAAGCATGCATGCACAAAAATTAGCGGGCAAAGATTCGACAAGGCAATGTTGATTCCATTTAAAATACCCAACTACCTAGAAAAGCATAAAAGCCATTTTCAAATTTTAAAAGCCACTTAAAATACCCAAGTACCTGATCAGTAAACTTTTGTATAATTTGAATAACAAAACGTAGCATATATGCCACCTTGTCTATGTAGCATAGGTAGTACCTCTATATAATTCTTTCTCAATAACAAAATGGCTTAAGAAAGTAAGTTCCAGACTACCAGATAAGAAACAGAGGTCATTAATAATTTTTCATAAGAATAATTAATAATTTCATGCATTAACATAAGTTTGACTCGTTTCCATAAAAAAGACATCTGATCTCTAAATTGCACTTGATTGTATCTGATAAACAATTTGCATGCAAGAATACATCAATAGCAGGATTCGACAAGGTTGATTCCATTTAGAATACCCAAGTACCTAGAAAAGCATAAAGGCCATTTTCAAGTTTGAAGAAAGAAAAATATGATGAGCAATGAAATGGTGATGAAATACAAAACCTCTATAAAATCAATCAAAAGCTAATAACATTTCACATATGTAAACCCAATAACCTATAAATACAAACCCATCACAAGGTTTTCAAACAAAAAAAATCCATAAATACGGTACTAATACAAACTAAGATTTGTCATATGCAAACTCAATAACCCATAAATACAAACCCATCACAAAAAAGTCAGAACTACAGTGCTAATAAAATCTATTACAAGTTAGTTGTACCTCTGTGATAGCGAGCGAAAGAGGACTTTCCCTTCTGTTGTCGTTTGAAAGGCGCAGAGAGAGGGAGAGGCTCAACTGAGCCTAGATGTGAGAGACACAGAGAGAGAGAGGAATTCCCTGCTGTAGTTTGTGAGAGCGAAAGAGGAAAATGGAGAGAGAGAGAGAGAGAGATTGCGTATGAGAGGAGCAGAGAGAACAAAAAGGGCGAGAGAGCGATGGTTGTGGCTCTAGTTTAGAGAGAGATGATGCAAGGGAGAGATGGCTCGTCTGGTTTAGAGAGATGGAGTGGTAGCATCGGTCGTCTGATTTAGAAAGAGAGAGGGAGTAGTAGTATTGGTCGTCTAGTTTAGAGAGAGAGGAAGTGATAGCATTGGTAGAGAGAGAGAGATTGAGTATGAGAAGGTTTTGAGGTAGTAGGTAGGCCTGCCATCTCTGTATACTAGGAGGGAGTTTGCAGGGCTACACAGGCTCCATTTTCAAAGGCAAAAGGCGTGAGTTTGCCCTTTTGAATGGCGGCCAACCATCTTCAACGAATTCATCTGGGCCGTTGGCGCACCAACATGCAATATGTGATGGGGCGTACGGCATATTTTGATAAATAAATAAATATATATATATATATATGGGAGTGGATCTGTCAACCTACGGGCTGATTGCTACAGTATCAGCCAATGGCCCAGATTCAATCTGAGCTGATATGACGGTTACAATATCATTTCGTATTCGAATTTTTATTTGTTTTCTACAAATCCAAATCACTTTAAATTTTAGGTGTTTATTCTTCTCATTAAGGTGACGTAATAAAAATAAAAAAATAATAATTTACAAAATATAAATTGATCAAAATGCTCTAAAAATATCTTGACAAATTATTTTTTTATATTTTTATTAGATTTTTCTATTTTTGAAGAATAGACGCTCCAAATTTCAAGTGATTTGGATTTGTAAAAAAAAAAAAAAATTCAAATTCAAAATGAAGTCGTGACTGTCAGATTGACCCAGATTCAATCTGGGTCATTGGCTGACACTGTACCTATATATATGGATGCATCAGTAGCTGTAGAGGTAATTTTGATGGTATATAATTTTATCTTCACTTAAGTTACCACAAAAGGGGGCATGAGCTCAACCGGCAACCCTATTACCGAGTGAGAGAAACCAGAGTGAAGAAAAGAAACCAAAATGCGTTTTCCACTCTATCACTGGTTTCTTTTCTCGTGTTTTCACTCTGGTTTCTCTTCTCCCATGCCCGTGCTCGTGCTCTCCCTCCTCTAGCATGCCCGCTCTCTTCTCTAGCATGCCCTCTCTCCTTCTTTTATCAACCGGTTCAGCCCGTTGCTGTTTTTGTGACATTTTTAGTGAGGTGATCTCAACCGCCCATTTTTTATCTCAACCACCCCTTTCAAACGAATAGTTGAAAACAAAAAAAAAGATAGTTCTTTAAGAGAAGCATAAAAAGCTTTCCCATAATAAAAATCCACGACAAAGAGGGCTAGGTAGAGTGATTAGGGATCGTCTTAGATAATATTCGTTTATCATACTTTGGTCTGTGTGAACCCGCCACACCAAATTTCATCGAAGGAAATCCCTTAAATACCATAAAATGGTGTAATAAAGAGCTAAGAATTTATTGGACTTCGAGATAATAGTGTAGCTACAGATTATGGAGCTTAGTTGCCAATTAACGATTCGTTTCATATGTTTGCGGGGAAGCGAAGCTAATAATGGCAGATGCATTTAGCCAAGACAGAAGCAACTTATCCTCAGGAAATCCATTTTTTGCCCTTTTTTATATCTCCATTTATCGAGGGGAAAGAGAAGATCGAAAAATCATCGCCCAGGGCTCATTATTGGATGAGGTTTATATAACGCATCAACTTTGAGCAAAGTACGGCACACCTCCAAACACGGTGGTTTCGTTGCTAAAAATCGGACTGAGAATATATTTATTATATAAAATTAAAAAATAACGTGAATTGTGCTAATGTATCGATACTTAAAAATCTAAAAAATGAACAGTAAGTAATGTGTTGTAAAATTTACTAATTTCAAAACTTGAAATTCGCATTTTGTTTTTTTGGTACCCATACATCTCGATGTTAAAGATATTTAATTGAAAGGTCATCCAACATTAAAATCACCTTTCTCAATAAAGATAAGGCAATTCTTTTAAAAAAATAAAAAAAATAAAAAATTAATAAAGGCATTTCTTATATATATATATCTCCTGTCCGTATCTTAAGGGCACATTAACCCTCTTTCAAAACCAACCTCGGCTTTTCTCTCTCTCTAATGTAAAACCTAAACCCAATTCCATGTGAGTGTGATTTTCGTGAATTGGATAGAAAAAAAAATCTCTCATCAAATGATGAGAAACAAAGGACCAAAAAAAACTCTGTTATCATATATTACAAGGAAAAAAAGGGCTCGCCAAATCCTGCAAAACAAGCCGGATTCCGGCCGAAGCCCTGCCGGAGTCCTTGAAAATGTCACCGGAGTCCTACATGCACTCGCCCAATTTGTCAGACCTCAAGCTTATGGTTAATCGTACGGCGATGAGGGCCGAACCACTTGGCCTGAATATACCTGTATCTCCTCCATGGTGGAAGGTGCATTTCTTGTGCCCTAATCGACCTCTTCGTTTCTTCACAGAGGAGCTTGATGATGGATTTTAGAATTTGTGGTTTTCCGACGAAGACAGGGGGAATAAGTTGCCGGATTCCCAAAAAGTGGCTCGTGGGTCGGGCTATGTCAAAATTTGACACCAGATCAAGATCGATTATGTACCTTGTGGTGTTGTCAATGGAAGAGATGACATCGATGTATTCATAGTCGCCGGCTGGAAGATTGCCCAACCTTTCCCATCTCGATATGCACAGACCTGAAATTCAATTGAGAGTAGGAGAGATTTGAATTACGCGAAAAAGAGAAGAATTTTTCCAAAAATCAAGTAGAAGTGAGATTTAACTCTAAAGAAAAAGAAATAGAGGAGAGATTTTGAATTACATTAAAAAAAAGAGATTTTCGCTGCAAATTACCTGCATTATAACCTTTATCTCTGAGTTTCTTCATCAACCATCGATTGGAGCTGCAAGTTTCTCTACTCGATTCCAATTTTTCAACACAGAGGATAAGTTCTCTTTGAAATAAATCATCAGAGCAAATCTTCCCCAATACAAAACCCTCGATCGTTTTCTTCACACTTTCCCCATCTTCTTCCTCACCTCGTAACAAAAATCCAAAATTCTTACCACCTCTCATATTTTCGCCTGCCTTTTCATCATCAACAAAGAGACCATCATAGAACAGCTCATCGTGCTCGCTTCCGCTGCAACTCTCGGTCCCCGATTCAAACAACTGAGCTTTAACCAATTCGTTCAAGGGATCAGTCACCTTCTTCAACCTCACACCCATTCTCCTGCACATGCCGCCTCTCTCTCTTTCTCTCCAAATTTCAAACAGATGAAGAACTCAGATGATTTCTCTCTCTCTAAGCTCTGGATCATAAAACATGTCCACGATATATAACATGGAGGGCGGAGGAGAGAGAGGAAGAGAAAAGGCTTCATTTCTAGAGAGATAAAGAATGGATAAGGATGAGAGAGACACAGCCATCCATACGTTTGAGCGATAAAGATCGTCTCTGAGGTAACAGCGTCCGTTATGTGGAACGGAGCGCAGCCTACGGTGACCGCTGGTGAGGGTGGAATAGCCAACGGTTTGCGCACGACGTTTCGCCGCCGTGGTGTCGCGACGGCGAGGTGTGTGTCCCTCGTGAAGCCCACGTGCGGGAGGCGCTGACCTGGCCGGAAACTTCAGGTCGACACGTGACCTGACCAACCCCTCGATACGTGTGATATTAGATTGGGGTTAATGCAGACGGAGAGGCGTCTAGGTACATGGGGTTGTCTCCCTACATTGTGTCTGTCTTCCAATTCCCATTCTGTTCTCCTTTCCTTCAAGACTTGCTCATTCATCAAAAATAGGAAAGATTATCGAAAATAACATTAAAAAAAAAAAAATTTATATACAAGCTCTCCAAACAAGCAAAATTAGAACCCACCTTAATAATTTCACTAGAAAAAAAGTTATTTTGATGTCTAAATATTTTCAAATTAATCATCTCAATATCAAGATGCATAAACATGACAAAAAAAATAGATTTCGAATTTATTTGAAGGCATGCTTTATTTTAATTGTTTAGAGCCTCGGCTCTATACAAACAGCACCCAATTAAGTAAACCATGAGTCGTAAGATGGTTTTCTAAAGGTGGCCGCTTTGTAATGATAAAAAAACCGAAGTGACGCTTTGTGAAAGTAACGGGTTTGGTTTAAGTGACTGCTCTGTGAAAATAACGGGTTTGGTTTATAAAGATGGCCTTCGTGAAAATAATGTGTCATATTACTTAACGGGTCCAATCAAGCGAGTTTTAGTCCAATAAAAAATAATAATAATATTGAAAATAATACCTAAAACTAAATAAATAAATCAATGAACAACTTCTCATATCTGTTTTTGAATCATATGATGTAATTAAAGTTTCGAACCAAATCTTATAAACGAAACCGTCCAATAATAGGCAACCTTGACAATACCCTTTTAGTGAAGTCATTTGCTTGGCATATCTCTTTTGTCATTTTTTATCTTTTTCACATTTTTTTCTTGAGGTGTTAACCTCCTTTTATTGATAATATGTCTCGTTTGTAACTCACACTCTGTCTAGGAGTTGAGATCTGTTTATACTAGAAAATATGGGCAAGGAACTCTATCCTCGCCTTAGTTTCGGGTACAAATTTGTAAAAAGAGTTGATAGAGAAAGGATCCCGTCAAATTGCATTCCGAGTGAGAAACTGGCCAGCATGCTGTATCCCACTCGGGCCTCCGGCAAAACCAACTTCCCACACACCTTAGCCCACTCGGAGCTCCGGTAGAGCCAGCTTCCCACACACCTTGGCCCACTTGGAGCTCCGGTAGAGCCAGCTTCCCACACACCTTAGCTTTGTAGTTTGACAAAAGTAGATGGGAGTAATTTAATGAAGAACTTTAGAAAAAAGAGCAAAATCAAATAAAACAATAAATGAACTAGGGAAAACTAATAAATATGCAAGAATGATACTAAATAAAGCTCTTAAATGGCAATAAAAGGAATGACAACAAATAAGAAAATGATACTTGAGGCTAGGCCCCTAGGCCCGGCGCCCCGAGTCGGTGCCGGTTCAGAGTAGATTGTTGCACTATCAATCTCGGTCTTTCGGGTTTTAATGGGCAAGTGAATATAGGTAGAAGATGGTCCATTGTGCATACACTTCTTATTTTTGTTTTTAATTATGCATTTTATTATTGTTTCAAAGTTGATAAGGTTTCTTTTGTTAGATGACTTTTCATTTTGAAGGTTTTGAGTTTAAGGAAGTGCGAAGTGCATCAGCCCTTTTTAAAGATCTACGATCCCCTTTAAATTTCCACTCACCAATAAGATTTTGAGGTGTAGGATCCTTGTGGTTTAAAGATAATATAGTCACAGTAGATTCTCATGAACTAGGTAAACTACTAAATATGGTTAAGAGTTATTGTGGATCAATCAAAACATAACCAGCAATAATGAGTTTCTTGCCCAACGAAATCATTTTTCTAACATGTTGAACTACAAAATCATTTTCCATCATCTTGGAAGACTAATATTCTTGAGTCTTAAATTGTTCAATGAAGTTAGCGCAAATTGTATTTCCAATTCATCACAAATATCCTTGGTATTTTAAATTTATGAAATCTCAATAATAATTCATCTTCTATGTTTCTCAATATTATGCACTTCTTATTTTCTTTTCTCAATTATCATATGCCAATTTTTTTGCGATACTACTGTCATCATTTGGTGTAGTAGGAACTTCTTCTGAAATGATATAATTCTCATGCTTTAAAATCAAACACAATCTTCTTTCCATACATTAAAATTCCCATTAAGTCTTTCTATCTTCAATTCTAGCTTTTGATCTATTAATAAAACAAAAATACAGGCCAAGTAAAATAAATCTAATTTATGATTTCGATCTCACCAAGCAGTAGCCTGGACCATCAAGAAAAAGAGCTTGAGAAAACTTGGTACAGTATGGTGATGAAGAAGCCTCAATGTGGATCCTTCTCAATCAACCATTTTTCTATCCCTCTCAGCCAAAGTGCAAACAAGCAATAATACAAAGGTTTCCACAAGTCAATTTCGCCCCAAGATTGTGGAAATAAAAAATACATAAAAAATTATAATAAGAAAAGATTGATAATCCTAAAAGGGAAAATAAATAGCAGTAAATAAAATAAAATTCCATACTTTTTAAGAACAACATAGAAGAGCATTGTATATTATCTTAGAAAGAGATAAAAATGAAAGACTGATAATGTCATTTATGGGTTTAAGGAATTTATAAAATAATGCTTTACAGTAGCCAATATAAGAAGGTGAAAGAATCACATTCCCGTTAGAAAACAAAAATGTTAAATTTGCAGCCCGCGATCATTGTGGAGAATTTAGGTTGAAGACTCATTTTAGCATCCGTTATTTCCCTCTTTTTTTCCTCCTTTTCTTTTTCAAATTTGGGAAGGTGGGTGAAGGTTTGGGAGAAATGATCTCTCTCCTCTCTAAATGGCAAGAACGTAAAAGGAAAGAAAGAAAATAAAGGAGAAACTATCTCCAAATTTTCTTGCAGTAAATAAAGGAAGTTTTAGGATGAGCTTTGCATATGGTGTTTAGAAATGTACTTGCGATGATTTTGCCAACATAGATTTCCTCTTTTGACAACAAAGGGGGAGAAATCTTCTCTCCAACAGAATGGCCGCTAAAGAGAAGAAATGCCCTATGTAAATACTCGATTAATAGAATGATAAATTGGGACAATATTGTTGAGTTTATGTGTCTTTAAAGGCTTTATGAGTGTGTAATGAAAAATATTTATTATAATAAAACATAAATTTAGTGGGAGTGTCGTCCCTCAAAAAGCATACTAAGCAAATGATATTTGCGGATACCTGAATGTGCTTAATGATCTATGCCAGTCGGATGGAAAACCCAAGGTACTTAGGCATAAAAATAAACCAAGAAGAGTTTTTAGGTTAGCCTTTGATGAGGTCGGAGCTTATGCCTAGATGAGTGAGCTAAGGGACTGTGTGACCCTTATGTGTGATGGTAGGCCTATAGAGACGGGGGTCAAAACCTCATCCATATTCCATCACACGGCAGGTATATAGATAGATCGTTCGGGAAAACTAAATATCCAACTTTGGGTGAAGCATATGCATGTGCGAGAGATACCCCTATGCGTCATAGAGCTGTGGTCGCATCAGGTCGTAGTGACCTTGAATTGTCTTTAGGGGAGGACCTGTAATCCACATACTGGGATTGCGACTCCTTGGCTCATCGACCAGACTTTGGTGACCCGCTAATGAGCCGCTGCTTGGACTGTGGGTCATGAGAAACACTAGGTCGGTTCGATAAAGCAAGTGTAATCTGTAATCCAAAGTTGAAGGTGGAGTACCCCGTGATCGTTGATTGAATCCCTGAACCATATGGATCCACTTCTCATCATATTAATTTAATTGTGTTCATTTTATTATTAAATTATTTTAAATTTATTATTTGAATTTTTATAAGTCATTTGATATTTTATTTCTTTTTTTTGGACTTATAAAAATAAAGTTATTAATTTACAAAGTTATAATGTTTTAAAATTCATTTTGTTTAATTTTAAAATATTTATTAAAAAATACATGGGGGGCCCATAGTGCACATGCGCGTAGGTATTAGGTGGGGCCCCACATACCATATATGGGTGGCATGCCCCACCCTTGGATACCTTATCTTGTTGCTTTGTCTTCAAGTTTATTAAATATGGTAACTATATCTTGTAGCATGTGGTCAAATATTGATTAGGAAATATTGACCATATCTTATCTTGATTATTGAAGGAAAATCTTGACTTGATATTATTGATATATTCTTATGGAAAATATGAGATGGAATATGCAATTTATGGTTTGCACTACATCTTTAATGGATTTAATTTATTTAAATATATTGACGAGAAAATGATCATGCACCTTCCATAATGTTGATGGCCCATCTGTGGAATGGATGGCTCAGATCTCTCACCTCACAAGTCACCTTGAACAACGGTCCATATTCAATCTAAAAAAAGAGGCAAACTATGGCAAACCCTAATGAAATCTTAGACCTAAAATTCACTATAAATAGGGGCGCTCTGTCCCCATCTCTACACACATCTCTCTCCCATAAACTCTCTCTCTTCCATAGGGGCCACGTCCCTCTCTCTCTACTCTCTCTCTCTGCTAAAATATCCTAAGGGGCCATGCCCCAATATAGAGACTCTCTCTCTCTCTCTCAATATCTAATCTAAGGATTGAGAAAATTAGGGTTTGAGCTTAATTATTTTGGAGTTAGGGTTTTATAGAGATTTAAGAGTGGTTTTTTAGTTTGGCCGAAATTAGCTTTCTCGGTTCGAAATTGAAGCTAGACCGCTGATCCCACACTATTAGATGTGGTGACTCGGTGTGGGGTGGAAAAAGCCCGGTTGAGGTAATCTCCAGCATCTTTCCTTTTAATTGTTTGTTC